CGATCAAGTAGAACAAAAAAATCTATCATGGAATACAAAAAAAAAAAAAATTGTTCGGGACTCGCCTATTCGATCCGTCTATGGCGATTCTCGAGTCGAACTGGAAACCGGGTGAGTCCGGTTCGACTCGGCGTTTTTTTAAACACTGATTTTAACATTGGAAAAGGTTAAAATAAGGCCAAGGCTTTCTTGAAAAAAATAATTCTTTGCTTCAAACGTCAACAAAAACTACACTTTTGACACCAGAAAATCTTCTAATTGCTCATCTTGATTTTTATCACGATGATTGCGAAAAAATAAGATTTCAATCCCTGAAAGTAATGTACATTATAACAGTTATCTAGATTGTCCATTCTCAAATATTTGTAGATCTATAGATTTGTACTATTTTTTAAACTATACTTTTTATTAGTAGTAGTAAAAATAGATTCTAGAGCCAACTGGAAAATAGATTATGTTATCCAAAATGCTTTTCGGATGCAATATTGAGGTAAGGCTTCACTTAATGGGTGTGGTTTCTATAAGGCCGCAACCTTAAACATCCAATGAAGGTGTACCTTCAAATTTTATTATAACATGAAATTTTGATGTAAAAAATTGTTGGGTTTATCTAAAAATCTATTTTTATGTCTAAATATAAAAATTTAAACTTCAAAAATAGTTAAAATCAAGTAGATCTATAAATATATGGAAATCTTGAAAATGGATGGTCTAGATAATGTGTTGCAAGATGCACAATTTTTGAGACTCAAAATCTTTTTTTTTTTATATTCATACATCTCGATGCCGAGATGATCTATTAGAGGAATTTTCAACACTCAAACAATATTCTCCGATGGAGTTTTTAAATGCATATGTAGTTCTATATTTTAAGATTGCGACTTTCTATATCGATCAATTCCAAAAAAACCCAAAAAAGCAAAAAAAAAAATTGGAAAAGTGCGCCTTGGGGAAGTGAGCGCGGCCGGGTACGATCTTCACGAATCGGACCACAGAATCGCCCGCTCGTTGAGACTTCAAGGTAAAAGCAGTGTTTTAAAAAACGCCGAGTCGAACCGGACTCACCCGGTTCGACTCGAAAATCGCGAAATGGGGATCGGATCGGCTAAGAAATCGGAAATCGTCCGGTTCTAGAGAGAACCGTTCTAGAGAGAACCGGACGATTCTGCACAGCCGAGTCACTGTGCGGAATCGGCGGGTCCGTGAAGAACACGGGTTGCACAGTGTTCTTCACGGGATTCTTTGAAATTAGTCATTTTTTGATCATTTTTTTTGTTTTTTTTTACATGTGATCCAATTTGTAGGCTGTAAACAGCTTTATTCAGCTTTTTCAAAGATTAAATGGTTGAAAAATTTGGTGTTTTTTGATCACGAAAAATTTGGTGTTAGGGTTTTCGCCTTTTCTGAAAGTTTTATGCTAAATAGGGCATGAATCTTTCAAATTTTGTAGGCATTTTGATCTTAAAGCTGTGAATCAAAACCTTTTGTTACTAATTTGTGATAATCGTTGAGAAAAACAGAGTTTTTTGGAGATTGAAGGCTTCGGTTCACAAAATCAGGTAAGAAGTTTGGGTTTTTTTTTTTTCCGCCATTTGATTTATTTCACGGCATATTTTGAACATAATGAGTTCAATAATTAGGGTTTTTAATCTTTATTGTGTCTAGTATGATTTAAAATTTTCAATTTTATGTAATCTGGTCAATTACAGCATGAAATTTGAGATGAACACTGAGATGTCTGCGGAACCAAAATTCCGCTGTTGTTTTTTTTTTTTTCCGCCTTTTGATTTTGTTTTCATGATATATTAGAAATAAGGTGTTAAAAATTTAGGGTTTTGATTCCTTATATTGTTGTTTATCAGAAAATATACTCAATTGGATGTAATTTATTCACTTAGAGGTGGATTTTTGAGTTAAAATCGCTTATGTAAAACGGCTCTGTGAAGAACAAATTTTTTTTTTTTTGTAACCCATGATAGAATTTTTTGTAATTCATGATCGAATTTTTTGTAATCCATAATCGAAATGTTTGTTTTTTTTCTTGTAATCCATGATCGAATTTTATTTTTTATTTTTTATTTTTGTAACCCATGATAGAATTTTTTGTAATCCATGATCGAATGTTTTGTAATCCATGATCGAAATGTTTGTTTTTTTTTTGTAATCCATGATCGAAATGTTTGTTTTTTTTTTGTAATCCATGATCGAAATGTTTGTTTTTTTTTCTAATCCATGATCAAATTTTTTGTTTTTTGTTTTTCATGTAACCCATGATAGAGTTTTTTCTAATCCATGATTGAATTTTTTGTAATCCATGATCGAATTGTTTTTTTATTTTTTTGTAATCCACGATCGAATTTTTTGTTTTTTTTTGTTTGTTTTTTTTTGTAATCCATGATCGAATTTTATGTAATCCATGATCGAATTTTTTGTAGTCCATGATTGAATTTTTTGAAAATTTGTGATTTTTTTTTTTTAATCCATGATCGAATTTTTTTTGTAATCCATGATAGAATTTTTTGAAAATTTGTGATTTTTTTTTTTTAATTCCATGATCAAATCTTTTTTTGTAATCCATGATAGAATTTTTTGAAAATTTGTGATTTTTTTTTTTTAATCCATGTTCGATTTTTTTGAAAATTTGTTATTTTTTTTTTTAATTCCATATTATTCAAAGAGAAAACGAGAGAGATGATGATTATGAGGCCACCCTATCCCAGCCATATTATTCACATATCGAGTCCCAACAGCAACAGTGTAGGGATGAGCACTACAGTGCAGGTGAGCATGAAAGATGGACAATCTTCGGGGATTTTAGATTGGGAACACAACAAAACACTAACACTCAGGGATTTGGAAATAGTCAGACGCCTGCTAATATCGATGATTCGTTTTTAGATCGAATCAATGAATTGTTAAACGAATTCAATCAATGGCACCAGCGTGACCAAGAAGAACAATAACGTCGTCTATCATTTTAATTTTAGATCATATGTTACTAATTTTATGCTTTATTGTAGTCCATGTATGTTGATATACTTATTCCATGATAATTTATGTTTATCCTTTTGTCTGATGTAAATTAAATGCTGAATGGCGGTTCATGC